GACTTTTTCCAGTATACCACTAATAATCAGAAGTGGAGAATAGAGAGATTGCTTATTAAGATGAGGAGGTTCCAATCATGCTTTTAAACAATGAACAATTTCAAGACGTTTTGCAGACGCTTTGTATATTATCCTTTTGAATGAAGTGATTTGAAATGTAATAGGTTTTAATCTGACATGTCAGGAAATTGTGCAGTCAAGCCTCCCCGCTCTAACAGAATTGAGGTCAACAGAGTATTTGAAATTCTGAAGTCAGAAACAATATAGGGGCGTTGTATATAGACATGGACTATGGAGAAATAGTAACCTTCTTTGAAAGGCATGATGGCATCAGGATATTTGGTGAGTGGCCACTAAAATGAGAAATGTATATAGCTGGAAGCTTTTCTGCTTAACAGTTTCAATTGCTCAACAGTTTCGATTGCTCTGAAGGCTTCCTTGTGGACTAGGGTTTTAATTAAGTTTGGGACTTACAACAGTTCAATTGGATATCTTTTTGGGATGTGCAAAGGTACTCGGACGTGACAGCGACGATCAATCATGGAACGATGCTCGCAGTGACTTTAAAACATGTTCCTTTTTTACTGATTCCTGGTTATTGTGGCATTTTGAGCGGTACCTAAGGACTGATTGGTTAGTGTTTGGACAGCATGCAGTCTAGACTGACAAAATGAAGTGAAGTCAAATTTGAACGCATGATCATGAAATACAGTTAAGTGCAAGTTGTACAGGGCAAATCCGCCATATACATAACATTATAATAAGATTATTGTAATAGGCTAGTTCATTCAGACAGGCACAGTCAAGTTGACATATGCTTTTCTGTTCTTTTTGTGCAGATATTTTTTCTTTATATAAAAATATAAAGATTAATAATCTGATTGGTTGTAAAATGTATTACCTGAATGAAATGAACTCGAATGTATTGTCCTGTGGAATCATTCATTCACAGACAGTTTACGAAGATGTTCAAACAGATCTTCATCGCTGGTTGCAGATTTGCTTTCACAAGACTAAACTGTAGGTCCACGGCCACTTCATTCAACATTCTTGAAGTTCTTAAATCTTCCTGTTACGACTCTGAGTCGAGTGTGAATTAAAGCAATTTAGAATCAGTGCGTGCAGGAAACTGAACAGATCATTCAAATACTTGTTTGATGAAGTCTTTGAACAGAATCGACTCAAAAGAGTGTTTCATTTGTAAATTGAGCATCGGTCATGCATGCCCATAAAAATACAGCGCTCTTTGATTAAACTACGCATTTAAAAAATTGAATTGCATTAGAATAAAGTAACGATAGGAACGAGAGGTCGCCCCACATAACTAAGTAAATGTAGCCTACTTTGTTACTATAGATGGTTACTACCATAGACAGTAAAGGTTACTACCCACCTCTGTTAACGGTCACGAGTCACGTTAATGTTCTTCTTCTGTTGTTTGTTCTAGATCGCACAGTAGGTGGTTTCATTCATGTTAGAGACACCTTGTGTCCCAGACAGGAACATACACTGCTGCACGATCTGTGACAGTAGGTGTGCCATCACATTGTAATTGTGCGAAAATATAACAATATTCAAAAAAGCAATTTTATGATCGAATTTCGAACGACTATTCGAAGATCGTGACTCATCCCTAGAGAACACTATAGAATGTTGTGAATTATTTGTGCTTTAGTTGCCCTTGTTTCAGTGCGTTATTACGGTAATACAGCCTCCCCAACCAGAGTAACATTTTCTGGCTATTGCACGTAACTTAATTAGTTTGCGTCCTTTTTTGTGGATACTTTTTGTTGTGTATCTAAGATATCTGATTCATATCATATAGGATGTGTTTACAGTATAATAGTGTTCATTTACTCTTCAGCTTCATCTTCACCTGCAGTTGTTCCATTTAGTCTCTTTTTCGAAAACATTCAAACCTATCTTTATGTTGAAACAAACAAATTTTTCGCCCCGAGAATATTAAATCATAGGATACACAAAAAAGTTGACTTGTTTACATTTTCCATTTTTTTTCCACCCAAGTATCCCACAGTCCTTGAAATTGATCTGCCATGAATATTTAAACACCTTTCCTTTATTATCCTCCTGACACAAAGGTCAAATGTGCCTTTTAAAGACCACATTTTTAATGAAACACTATCTGCTCCTTTATCATTGAAAAGGTATTGAGTTACTTGCTTAGTGTGCCTTGTAGTTTTTAGCAGTACATTAAATCATTCCTGGTGTGAGTTTACACAAGCATTGGCGAGGTGGAGATGGCATTGCATCGAGATCACAAAACTGTGGCGCAAGCGGCCATTGGCACTCTGACCCCTTTAATTGTGTCCTCTTATTTTTCCGCTGTGCTCTCCTTTTCTCTTTTCCTTTCTCTCTCCAGCTCACAGCCACTTGTAATTACAGCATCTCTCACTTTGCTCCCCAGAGGCACATCAGCAGTGTTCTTTCAACAAGGCAGAACTTGTCGTGCCACAGTTAGCCTGTTACTCACACTGTTTAGCAATGACGGTAAAGACTACGGGATCAGTGCTGGTCTCAACCGGACACCCCAGTGTCACTGTTGTCACAGTTGTTACTGACAATTGTACTTTTTCCAAATAGAAATTGACAGGTAAAGAATAACATCAGATGAGAGTCAACCAAAGCTACTGTATGACAGCTTTTATATTGATGATGAAAGGGTGTGTGATTGTGACAGTAATTATTGTTATAGAAATGAGGAAAAAAAAAAACATTAATCACCAACAAGCATTTGCATTGGGGTGTTAATTCCAATTGGCTAGAATGATGCCCCTCAGCTCTTGGCAAAGTGTCTTTCATTATCAAGTTTAATTCTCATTGCCCTCTGACTGCCAGTTAAGTAAGAGGCTGTCTCATTCATATTAACCATTGAGCCTCATGTTTATAGAGCCTTTAGCCTGCTGAATAGGTTGTGCCGCTTTTCCTTCACTTCCTCTTTTTCCTGTTCGATATGTTAAACACATTGCTTACAGATCTTGACTTTGGTAAAATGCTTCAATACAATGGGAAGTTGAATAATTTCATGTCTTTGAAACTCAAGGAAATTGTGAACAATAGCTGAAATTAGAACCTGAAAATATAGTATGGGCAGATGATGACTATCCCATTGTTATATATGTGGTTCCTCTTGACAGCATGTCGTTTTTCTAATTCAGACATGAGTAATTACAGCTGGACTTGCCTAGCTAATAGTGACCTACAAACAGCTGAAATTGGAGCAGTATAAATGAAGTGGCCATCTAATGGAGCCCTCAATTATGCTCTCCATAAATAGATGCTTGAATACATTGATCTCTTTTTCAAAGTATGTTGAAAAGAAGCAGCACATTGCTACACAAAATATTATCAGCATCATCACAGAGCTGTCTGACAGCTGTCCAATCACCAATATTTTTGACATACACACAATTTTAAATGAATTATTGTGTAAAATGTTTACTTGAATTTTTTGTTTTTTGAGTTCTTTGCCATGTGATGATAATCTGGAATTCTGAATAATGTGTTTTTGTGTGTCATTGTTTTGTGTAAAGAAATTTAAGGATAATTGTTTAATGCATGTTCATAGACATTGATGTCTTATTTTTCCGAGATCCTTGTTTTAAACATTGCTCGCAGTAACATATCCTCAATTTTACACAGAATTATTCTGAGAGCAGAAAGGCACACAAGAAAAGAACCAACTACATCACCACCCTGTGCATAGTCTAAAATATTCTCAACATTTCTAAAATATATAAAATGAATGAATACATTTAAACACCCATTCTTTTTGCTTGTGTTCTGTGGTAGATTTTCCCCTACGCTTAAGTTAAACTTGTGTTGCATCCTAATCAACGCTTCAAAAACGTCTCCTGATCGACGTTCAATAATATTTATCCTCCAGTGCATCTCCTAATCGAACTTCGAGTCGGTCAACGTCTTAACCCCTATGCACACTGGGATTAAGATCTCTAGTGTTTCACTTGCCTGCTAAGCAGCAGTAACCAGACAGACTCCAGACAATACCTTCGAATATGCTTTAATCATGGCCAGAGGATCTCAGACCAATTTCAGACAGAATCCCATCAGCAAAAAAAGTTTTAACCTATAATCATTTTACTGGATTTGTTATAAACCAGGGAAATAATCATAATCGGCAGACATTTTTCATTAATCTTGTGAAATGACACAGTATGTGCCCGGTGAAAGTAGAGTGCAATTTTTGTGCCTCTAGAAATTGAATACACTGTTTATAGTATAATGTACAATAATAAGCAGTCCAGTTCTTGCATGGGCACTACGGCATAATCATTGCAGGAGGGAAGCATTATTTAGGAAAAATAATATTTTTCACCTTTGACACAGAAACACTAAACTGTAAAATAGTATAAATGTGGATAAAAAGCTCATAATAATAAAAAAAAAAAGTAGTGGAATTGATTGCAAGAAATGCCAGAGCTTATTATTTAGCTGGAACACTTGGCATTCAGAACAGGTTTTCTTGCCAAATTCGACATAGTCTAAAAACTTGAAAAGCTTCGACTTAAAAAGCTTTTTTTTTTTTCCTTTTCTTTCTTTTTCTTTTTTTATTTGTTTGAACCTTTGATGCTAAGGATACCTTGACATTCTTGATAGAAAAAAAGAAGAAAAACAACTTTCTGTGGTTCATGTTCTAAGTACATTCAGGCATGACACGCTGCACGTGTCATAACCAGCCAGGATGATTATTGTGCTAAATGAGCGGCATTAACGTCTTTGATAAATTGTTTTTAAATCAGCTTGTAATTTCATTGGCAGTAAATTTCCACAAGTCAGAGAGCAGTCATCTATTCCTCAATATCAGCTTACATGACCCCTCCCAACTCGGCTTCTAACTGTGTTATCTCCAAAACTAAAGTGGTCATTAGGTGCTTTTTTTCCTCTACGGCTCGGCAAGTAATGTTGGTAAAATGCTAATGCTTAATAATGATCCCTTCATCCATTTCTGGATTACTTTTCAGCTGAATGGCAATGCATCAAAACATAAAGCATTTTGAGGCTCATTAAGGAGGCATTATACGATGAGGTCTGCGGAGCGGTCACACGGGCCTAGTGATGGATGTGAAAGCGATCCGCTGCTGAAACCCGGTTAGGTCGAGTCTCTGTGGTAAAGAGGGCTGCTCTCTGACATGAGGAGGAGGAGGAGGAGGAGGAGGAGGAGGAGGAGGAGGAGGGCCCACCACTGGACCCGTCCCATCAGAGCATCATTAGTGTCCACTTTGAGCCAGTGACAGGAATTCCATTCCAGACTGAACTTCAGACCTTGATAGCTTGCAGAATCACACGCATGGGAGTAATAAAGAGCTTTATGCAGTGTTCATGTTGTCTTCCAGCATATATGTAGAATATATATTTTCAAAATCGATGGGTTGCCTGAACTACATTATGCAATAGCTGATATAAGTGTCTGCACATCTTGTTAAATGCCATTATTATCTGTAAATATACAGTACAGTTAGACTGTGCTTACACCTAACATGGGTGACATGGCATGAGGTCAAAAATAAACCGTTCCCATTATAATTAACAAAGCCGTCTATACTGGAAGGGGGACTCTGCTCAGTTTGCACAGTACTGTATAGTTTGCTGCCTAGTGTCAGATTTCAAGCTGCAAATTTACTACAATCTAAAATGTATAGCACCAGCGATTTCAAACTGTGTTTTGGAGACTGTCTTTGGTTCACTGCAGTTTTAAGGAGAAAAATACTCAGCAATGCTGACTTATGAATTTGCATATTAAAAACACCACATAGACATATAAACAACATTAAAAGCTTGATTTTCACCACATGGATGTATGACCACCACAATATGGTCATACATCATGGTTCTATTTAGAACTCTAGCTGCTGCTTTTTGGACCTACTTTTTTTTCACCTGCTGGAGTTTGTTTATTAAGCATGCAGGGCAACAACCCAGTAGAGCATTACAATAATCTAGCCTTGAGGTCACAAACGCATAAACTAGCTTTTTGCATTTATCATTGAGAGCACATTTCATACTAGTTTAGATGCATTTTTAAGATGGAAGAGTGTTGTTTTAACAGATGCTTGAAATCAATAATTGGTATTAAAGAGCACACCCGGGTTTCCAACTAATGACAACAACTTGACAAATGACAAGCAGAGCAGCCATTAAGTGTTAGACAGTATTCTGGGTGTGCAGAGCTTTTTGGTCCAATAATTAAAACATCCCTTTGTTTTATTTTCAGAATTAAGTAGTAGGAAATTAGCTCTACCATTGTGCACCAGTTAACATTTCTATGTTTTTGCAAAGTATGTCGTACTGCCATTAGTACTACAGTATACTGGACTGAGTTGATTCAGCTGACGTTTAATTTGTGGGTTTCATTGATGTATTTAAATTTTGTATTAAACTAAGGCTGTCAACTTTAGTCGTTTAGTCGACTATTCAGTCGATGCCGTCTTGGTCGACTGACATTTTTATTGGTCGACCGGTTACATTTTTTTTTTTTTACCAATAGAAAGCATTTTTTTAATGATTTACTCCTTGATATTTATTTCTTTTATAAGCAATTATTTATTACTGTATTCTAAATATAATTAGCCTTTGTTTTATCCCCATCTTTAAATGCTTTAATTTAGGCTATTTTGTAACAGCGCCACAGTTTAGCACAAACACATAGAACACTCGGGAACGAGCCTGTGGCCGGCTGCACTGCTGCTTTGCGCTCGGTAAGGGATGCTGTATTCATTCAGTTAGAAGGCTGCTTGTTTTGGCTTTAGTCGACAAAATGTCCAAGCAATCTAAATCTTTTGTCTGGCTGCATTGTAAAACAAAGAAGACAAGACTGTGGAGGGAGGCGACCGCGTTGCTCCATTATGAGCCTGCACACCGCGCGCCTATATTTGAAATTGAACTTGAGTGCGCAAAAGACGTGAGCAGCGCTTTTAAAGGGTAACTAAACCCCTGGTCAGAGCCTGACTCCACCCACTGGCAATATTTGAAAAATGCTGGAAAAGTGGGCAGAGCCCAGCGGAGGGGGGCACCTGAGACGCACCTCTTTGTATGGAACTTGCCTACGTCACCAACAACCGCTGTGTCACGTACTACCAAACATCCAATAGGAAAATTCAACTGCAGTAGCCACCGTTCAACCTGAAGAGGGCAGCACTAAGACGTTTTTACACCATATATTGTAGAAATAGCACACTTTATAAACAAATGCCAAAAAAGTTACTTGAATCAATCACTGGTATTAATAAAGATCCATTCTTACAGATCATTAACTAAAAAAAGTTGGTTAAGTGTTTAGTTACTCTATAAAGGCTATATCATGCTGACTCAATAGATTGTGTTTTCTTAATGTTTTTCGTTTTTATTTGTACACTTTACGCATTTAAAAATAGCCTAAATAATACAACAAAACGAAAATAAATCTATATGCCTTCCAAAATACAGCCTATTATTATTCGGATTGTTTTTTAGGCTATTTGGGTTTTTTGTGTGTTTGTTTAAAATGCCTAGATCGGCTGGACAAAAGTTAACCCATAGCTTTGTAAGTAAAGAAGAATTAAAGGCTGTATAAAGGAGAGCTTTTGTTAGGATTTTTTATAATGTGGCAGATAGCAGTTTTTTTTTTTTTTTGTTGCGTGTGGTGTGATCAGGTGCGCGATTGTCACTGCATAGACAGTGCTCCTCACTTTTTTCAGTTAAAAAAATCACTTAATTCTCAAAGAATTTTTATTATTGTAGTTTTATTTATTTGTGATATTTGTGTTTTATAAATGCTCTATGACAATTGTTTAAAAAATGTTCAATCAAAACAAGTTTTTTTTTTTTGTTGACTAATCGTTGTGCAGGACAAGACTTTGGTCGACCAAGGATTTCTTTGGTTGACTACAGCCCTATATTAAAGCCAATTTCCTTTAAATTTATATGGTCTTGAAGAGGCCATACAGTCAAGGCAATAGATTTATTGTTTACTTAACAAATTTGTGCATTTGTTTCATTGATTAACATTAGAGCTGAATCCTCCTATGGACTGCTGTAGGCTTAAAAACCTCTTTGCTGGACACAGCATAATCAGTCCACATGCCTTTGACGATTGATTTTTAGATTCTCTTTTCTTAGACTTGTTATTATCTATTTGAGGTTAATGCTGAAACAAACATTAGCTAGCTCTTCTGTTGAGTCAGGGTGGTTTGTTTTGCCACTGAAGAAACCCAACACTGTGCTTTTTAACATATCCGTCAGGGCTCTGCTTTAGTCATGGGAGCATAATAGCAGAAATATGCATAATTACCTCGACTCCTTTTTCTCTGACCTCTCAGAAGTCTCTGCTAAAAGCAGGCAGTCTTTTCCTGTAGTGTCATATCCAGCTCTTCCCTTCTCTTATAATTTTCTGTATATTATCACATTGCGACTGTGACAGACTATGCTTTTTATTATGGCATGAAAGGCCTTTATGGTGATAAAAAAAACTTGAGATAGTATAAAGAGGCAATTTTTATCAACATCATTGATCTGACAGGTCTGTTATTCCACATCGGCACATCCCTGAGCATGCCCTGTTTGAACAAAAGTCAGGGCCAATGCTGTAAGGAGTATCATGATGATGGTCGTAAGACCCCTTACATGCCATCGCACTGGCCTTTCTACAACCTATGCAACAGCATATGCACTCTGCAATCCCAGTGGTGCTATACTGTGAAAGAAGTGGAAGCTATTAAGACGAGTGATCAGCAGAACTCATATCTGACAGTAGTGATCACATCCTGACGTCATGTGTCTTTACTGAATCTTTACGGGATGTGTTGAACACACTCACAGATTCCGGAAAATCACTTGCAATGTGAATGAACCAAAATCAAACGATCCCGAGACTATCCCCGGGACACATTATCCGTGTGTTTTCCGAATTTGTGTGAAAGGGGGTTTTGTCAGTTGAGTGTTAAAGAGAAGACTGGGCTTGGAAGCTCTGGTGAAAAAACACTCTGAAACCCTGCTCACCCGCTTGTTTTACGATGCTTCATAAAAGTGTCATCATTGGTGTCAATGCAATGGTGTCCTCTAAGTTCCCTTTCTGCAATTTGTGACAGCTTATATTGCTCAAAACCAAATGGCTTCAATGAAAGCTTCAAGGCCTACACCTCCTTGGCCCCATAACTGGTTGTCCTGGGTTTGTTCTTGATTGGTGTGCTCAAAATGATTTAAACTTCCAAAATGCCCTGCTAGTAAGATAAGGGAGGATTAAACCTTCTTTTATTTATGGTTGGCTACAAAAATACATGAATTATTTTTTATAGCTCAACATCAAGATAAAAGATGTGTGCCTCACTTCCCTTGTTATCATTTGCATGGCATCATCCAGTAATCTTTTTATTCAAACCTAATAAAAGCGATTTTTTTTTTTTTTTTGTGTGAGAAAAGCATATGGATAAAGGCAAAAATATTGATTTACATGATTTTATTACGGAGAGCAGACTTTCTCATTCTTTAACCAGATAACAATGGGTTGTATAGACGTAGGGTCTATATTTTCCCTTTAAAATGTAAGTATTTTTGTAAACCATGAAATAAATTGAATAACACAAATTTTGTTTACTGATGGTGATAAGGCCTCTATTTCGGTTTTTAGTACGCATCATATCGCATCATATTTTGATGCAGACAGTTGATAAGACTTAATATATATGACTTACAATAACTGTTCAAAATAAATGTGTAGTTTATGCATGTATAATTGTGTAATATTGACTTTTTATTGAAAATAAAAATATTGATTTATTGAAATATATATATATATATATATATATATATAATTTTTAAATGTTATTTTCAAATTTGTATGATATGCAAAAGACAACACCATGACTTTTTTTTTTTTTTTTTTATAAAATAAAGATTATAAAATAAGCACATCTGTGCCTAACAGCGTATTACATGAGATATTAATCTCTCACTGTCTATAAGAATTTGGCTGATATTGATAATATTTAAAAGCCGATAAAAATACATTGGCCAATATTTATTTAATTTTTTGAGAGCCTGATTACAAAAGCAAACGTCTCACCATTAAAAGCTATGTCCCAACACTTCAACTAAATCAAATACAGTAGCCTATAAAAACTAATTTTACAC